ACTTTTCTTGTTTTTGTATTTTGTTTTCTTTTGCTTTGTTTTTTTGAGATAGGGTTGCTATGGGATGGTCTGTATGCTGTGAATGTTTTGCTCTGGTTGATTGATAAATAAAATGCTGATTGGCCAGTAGCCAAGCAGGAAGTATAGTATAGGCGGGACAAGCAGAACAGAATGCTGAGAAGTGGAAGGCATGAGAAGTAAGATGTAAAGATACCAGTAAGCCACGGGCCACATGGCAAGGTATAGATTTGTAGAAATGGGCTAATTTAAGATAATAAGAACTAGATAGCAAGAAGCCTGCAATGGCCATACAGTTTATAAGTAATATACGTCTCTGTGTATTTACTTGGGTCTGAGTGGCTGCAGGAGCCAGGTGGACACAGGAAAACTCCAACTACACAGGGTTTCTCTGTGTAGCTTTGCGTCTTTCCTAGAACTCACTCTGTAGACCAGGCTGTCCTTGAACTCACAGAGATCTGCCTGCCTCTGCCTCCAGAGTGCTGGTATTAAAAGCTTGTGCCACCACCACCCGGCCACACTACTTTTCTTTGCAGTATTTTGGAAGCATTGCTCCCTTCTGTAAATTCTGCTATGTGTGATTTAATGTCTCCTTGGAAAATCCTCTATAACATCAGTTCTATTACTTCAACATCAAGCTTAAGTGTTTGATCATCTGCATCTAATGACATGACTGTCTCCTTTGGGTCTGATTCTGCTGTTTATTGTTTCTGCTTTTTCTGGTGCTTCATTTCTTACTGGCTATTAAGCTTTAAAAATGGATGACTACTGGGAATCATTTTGATCAAGCACATAACTATTTTTCAAAGCTGTTCACATTACAGATATGCTTGGAAAGAGTCTAGAGCAAGAGTTACCAAGTGATTGCTCAAGACTGTCTGCTTTGCTCTGCCTTGCTGCTGTGACAGTCCTCAAATCCCTCCCCTGAATTGAAAACAAGGTGCTTTTGTTCTTTGCTTTTTTATAAATCTCTCCTTCTCCCCAGTACAACCTTTGAAACATTTTCTTTTCAGTTTAAAGGTTTCCTTTTTAGACACTTACCTGCTTAAAAATTATCAGTGCCATATAGTAAAAATGTATAGTGGAACAGTATCACTTTTTTTTTTAACCTGTTTTTGATTGGCTCTGAAGGTCTTAATTTTCTGTCCTGTCTATTCCTAACAATCAAACATGGCACCTGTCATGTAGATTATTTATTTAGTCTTACCTGTTAATCAAAACTGATACTCAAGAGATACTATTGCCTAGCCCTGCTTGTCTAGCTCCGCTTTTCACTTGCAATCTCTAGTGTAGAGTTTCTCAGAATAAAGTGTGCATCCACCACTCGTGACATTTAGGTCCCTTTAGTTGCTGTGTGGATTAGCACTTATCAAAGACATCAGATTCTCATTTGAAAGAAAGGACGTTATAGGCTGGAGAAATGGCTCAGGAGTTAAGAGCATTTGCTCTTCTTGCCGAGGACCCAAGTTTGGTTCCTAAGCTGCCCACAGTCACCTGTGCAACTCCAGCTCCAAGGGATCTGGCTCACTCTTCTGGTATCTGTGGACATCTGCATTCAAGTACACAGATTCTTAAACACCCACATTCACGTAAGTTTTTGTTTTTGTTTTTTTGTTTTGTTTTTTGAGACAGGGTTTCTCCATGCAGTTTTGGTGCCTTTCCTGGATCTCACTCTGTAGATCAGGCTGGCCTCGAACTTACAGAGATCCATCTGGCTCTGCCTCCCGAGTGCTGGGATTAAAGGCGTGGGCCATCGCCGCCCGGCAGATAGATAGATAGATAGATAGATAGATAGATAGATAGATAGATAGATAGATCGCCGCCTGGCAGATAGATAGATCGATCTGCATTTTTTTTTTAAGGTACGGGCATTGACTAGAATACAAGTTGTCAACAGTGAAAAATGGGCATATCAAAATTCTGCAGGGGCTGGAGAGATGGCTCAGAGGTTAAGAGCACTGACTGCTCTTCCAGAGGTCCCGAGTTCAATTCCCAGCAACCACATGGTGGCTTACAACCATCTGTAATGAGATCTGGTGCCCTCTTCTGGCCTGCGGTCATACATGCTGCATACATAATAAATAAATCAATCAATAAATCTTAAAAAAAGAAAACCCTCAGGGCAGATAGCACGTAGGCCTGACAGCGCTAGGAGAGTTTGCATCTTGTGTTATCGTCCCGTCCTCTCCCCCCCCCCCCCCATTATTGCATTAACAACCTTGATATGCCAGTTTGGTTAAGATTCTGGCTGCAGATACAGAGTGGAGCAAAAAGAGACATCTCTCTGTTATGTCTCCTGTGTAGTAGAGGGATGAACACATGGGCCAGAAGTTAGCCAGCAGTGAAGTTTTGACCCTGAGAAGTCCCAAAAGTACTCCCCCTTTGGAGCTACAGAGAACTCCTCAGAGGGAATTTGACACTCAGGAAACACTCAGCAGGACAGGTGGAAATGAACCTGACAGAAGCTCCTGGCAGGACAGCGCCAGCCAAAAGGACGTGGGCTTAGGAGTGTGGTCCTCTGCAAGCCCGGGGGGTTTCAGAAGCTTGATTTTTACTTTATTCTGTTTGCAAATTATTTGGTACTGTTTAGTAGTTAACCACACAGCTATGGCAGTAGGCACTAAGTTTCTTTTTTACATAGTAAAGTACATTTTCTGTACAGTTAACTTTACAAAGAAGGGTCTTTTAAAAGAAAGATAGTATATTACGGAATAGAAAGTAGATGGAATTGTAATTCTCCTGAAAATATGTTCTTGTGTGCCTTTGAAGGATTTAATCTGTAGACGTTTCAGTTATCTTTACACTCAGTAGGGGACGGGGCTACAGACTTGAAAGCTTAGCTCCTGTCTAGCTAGCATGCATTAAAGAGTTTTTCAGAAACAGAGCAAGAACTTTTTGTGGTGGTATTGTATTCTCCAAAATATTGTGTACCCTAATAAATTTATCTGGGGTCAGAGAACAGACGGCCACTAGATACAGAGGCTAGAAAATGGTGGCACCAATGCCCAGCTGGAATTCAACTTTGTAGACCAGGCTGACCTCGAACTCAGAGATCCAGTCCCCTGTCGACTGAGTGCTGGAATTAAAGGCATTTGCCACTATCGCCTGGCTAGGGTTGCATTTTTCAGTATATAGTCAGCAGCCAGCACGTTTATCAGTTTTAATTTAGTTAAATTAAATAAATTTAGTTATTCCTTTAAGCTGTATGTAGTGGTGCACACCTTTAATCATAGCACTTGGCGGGCAGAGGCAGGCGGACCTCTGTGAGTTTGAGACTATCCTGGTCTCCAGAGAGTTGCTGGACAGCCAGGGCTACATAGACCCTATCTAAAAAAAAAAAAAAAAAACACATTTGAAGTACTTGATAGGAACATGTGGCCTAGTAGCTGTCACCAGATCCTACTCTGTCTTCCTGGCCTTTGGAGCTCTATCACAAAAATTCAGCACAGAGTAGTATGTGGAAGGAAGGTATTTTATTACAGTACGCTGGACTACACTCTCAATGAGACCATCATACCAATCTACATTTTAAAAAGATTTTATACTTGTTTTAAAGCCTCTAGAATATATGGGGGTTTTATTTTGTGGGGGCTCATTTTCCTATCCCAAGTTATTGACAGACCCATTTGGGGTGATTCTTATGGGAGGGTCCTTGTTCTTTTATCAGGACGCCTCCTGTCTAGAATTGACTTGCCAGATAATCCTAAGGTTGGATGGATGGCATTGGAGCAGTGGAAGGTGTCACCTATCCAGGGCTAGGTCCGTGACTTAGATTTTAGTTGAGCAGAAGTCACAGTGCTACAGTTTGAGTTCTCGGTTTTCTACACTGATGATGGGGGGGCGGGGGTGTCCCATTCCCAGGACCTCCAACCCTGCTGATCACTGCCTAGCCACCTGACAGAGGTCCTGAGATGCTGCTCTGTCTGGGAAGGAAGCTGTCAGGTTAGCATTGGGCTTGTTTGGAGCCAGAGTCTTGTTGGATAGTGAGGCAGCCTCAAACTCTTGGCTGCTGGCCTCCCAGCTGTACCACACATGGCCATGGTGTGGCTTGGTCTGTTCTTCTGTGTGAAAGACGGCAGCTGCAGAGATTGGAGATACCCGTGGAAGCCAGAGGCATCAGATCCTCCTGAAGCAGCACGGTGTGGCTGCTAGGAATTGGAACTCTGGTCCTCTGGAAGAACAGTCTAAGCTCGTAATCACGAGCCATTTCAATTCCCAGCCTGCCACGTGCATGCGTCCAACAGACCTCGGTCTGTGTACTTACAGATTCAGCAGTCTCCTGAGAAGAGTTAGGTTTCTAATAGGCTTTTCAAACTCAGAATCTCTAAATATGGCTCAGGGTGGGATCAGAAGTGTGTGTCGTTCCCCCCACCCCCACCCCCCCACAGGGTTTCTCTGTGTAGTTTTGCGCCTTTGTAGACCAGGCTGGCCTTGAACTCACAGAGATCCACCTACCTCTGCCTCCCGAGTGCTGGGATTAAAGGCATGCACCACCACTGCCTGTCTCAGAAGTGTCTTTTATTTGTAACCAGTAGAATAATACCATTTCAAGGCTTATTTACATGTGTATTTATGTATATCAGTGCTTTGTCTACATGTCTGCATACTGGGAATGAACTTTGAACCTCTAGAAGAGCAGCCAGTGTTCTTAACCGCTCAGCCATCTCTCCAGCCCCCAGTTAGTAGCATTTTATTGGAGACATAAATTCTGTTAGCCCTGGGCTATTGTATTGTATGTTCTTTCCTTTTTCTTCTTGGTTTCTCTGTTCTAGATCTCGCGCTGTAGACCCGCCTGCCCTGCCTCCCGGGGGCTGGGATTAGAAGGGGGCTGTACTCCCACTTTCCTCTGTTAGACCTGAGGAGTGATGTGCAGTGAATTGGGGTGACAGTGAATCTGTCAAAAGACAGATCATTTCTTTGAAAGTAAAAACTTGATTCTTTCCCTGTCTATTCAGCATATTAAAATCAGTTCTGATTTTTAGGTGTCATCTTTATCAGAAAGTGAGGAGTCTCAGGACTCATCTGACAGCATAGGCTCCTCACAGAAAGCTCACGGGATCCTGGCTCGGCGCCCATCTTACAGGTTGGTACTTTGTTATCAAACGTGTTCAGATAGTTCTGTGAAAATAAAGAGGACAAGCATGGTTAGGCAAGGTCGCAGTTAGGAGAGGTACGGTGGAAGCGGGTTTAGCTAAAGAATTTAGGCTTCAAATAGTTTGTTGTTTTTGAGATCTTTCTATATAGATCAGGCTGTCCTCAAACTCAGAGATCCCCCTCCCTCTTCTCCCAAGTGCTGGGATTCAAAGCCTATGTCATTGTGCCCTGCTGGCAGTTTTTACTCTAATAGCCATATAAAAGCAGGACTGCCAAGTGTAGGGTTGGACTGTAGTGTATGCTGTGTCTTCTCTTTCTGAGTCTGAGCCTTAGTCCAGGCCCTTGTGTAGCTTGTCTGAAATACCTCTACATTTCACATAACTCCTGTATGTGCTTACCAGAAGCCTCAACTTACCTCTTCCTGACGGACCTGAGACAGTAAAGTCTGTCTTCTGTAGCTCTTTTTGGTACTTGTTAGTGCTTTTAGATTCACTTATGTTCATGGTGTTTGCCTGTGTGCCTTTGTGTGTGGCATGTGTGAGGCTAGAAGGTGTCAGATCCCCTGGAACTGGAGTTACAGGTGGTTGTGAGCTGCCGTGTGGGTGCTGGGAACTGAACCTGGGTTCTCTGCTAAAACAGTAACCATTGAGCCATGTTTCTAGCCCCTTAGAATCCCATTTGAGCCGGGTGGTGGTGGCACACACTGTAGCTGGAGTTTTCTCCAGGAGGTGAACTGCCTGAAAAGTGAGAGAAGGAACTTGTGACGGTTGTCATCCAGCCTCTGCACTTGCACGTGCGTGCAAGCGCGCACACACAGACACATCAGTAAATGACAAAGAATCCGCAGAAGTAATACTAGGCAGAGGAAACTTTCTATGACATCTAATACATACCCATCCCATTGTACATTTTAGCAAATGAAGGCTAGATAGCTTCCCAAGCACATGTGGACTTTTGAAAACAGAAGGATGTGCAGGAGACTCTGTAGCCCAGATCCTAACTTGCTGTCCTAGGCCCAGAGCCAAACAGAACCACAGTAGAGAGAAGGCCTGTCAGAACGTGTAGCTTAGCCATGACTAGATTGATAGTAGGCTAAAACAAAGTAAAACTTACAAGACTCAGATAACAGACTACTGAAAATGTCTGGAATCACTTGGCCTGAAAAAGTCCCTTGTTGGATGGGTGAGGGGGCTGTTAGCAGATTCTAACACCTAGATAGCAGAGATGATGGAAGTACGTGGTACAGACTTAGAAGGGACTGTTATGAAAATGTTCTAGCAAGTAAGAGTTAGTCCTCTTGAAATCAATGGAAATAGAAACTCTGGGCAGACATGAAGAGAAGTGTAACAGAAGTAAAACTCAGATGTGTTCAAAAGGAGATTGGGGAGAAAAGAAAAAAAATCCATTTTGGAGACTAGTGAAAAGAGACAGGAAAGCTCTCTGGCCCCAGGGATAGAAGAAGGGTCTGACATTGAGAAGGGAACATCTGCTCTAAAGTTAGAGTGTGGTGACGGCTGCACACCCCTGGGGTAACTGAAGGCTGGACAGACACACTGCAGACGGGGTAACTGCATGGTGGGTGGTTCTGTCTTCACACCTTTTCTTTTAAAAGGCAAAGACATGTGCGTGAATGAATACATGTGTCACAGCTAACCATTGACAAGACAAGTAAGCAAGTTGGTTAACACTAGCAACCAGTGGAATAAAATGGTTTGGGGAAGCATCCACCAAACAACTGTACAAAGCACATTATTCATGTACCAAAGACACAACTTTGCACTGAGTGTGGTAGTTCATCCCTATAAACCTGGACTTGTAAAGCTGAGGCAGGAGGATTACTTCTGAGTTTGAGGCCAACCTAGTCTATAGAGTAAGGCCTGTTTCAAAAACGAAACCAACTGCTGAGTATGGTGCCATAAGAAGGTAGTAGAGTTCTTGAATTTGAGGTCATCCTGGTTCTACACAGCTGCAGGCCAGCCAGGGTAGGGCCCTGTTTCAAAGGAAGAAAAAGGGAATGCCACACCTGGCTTAGGACGAACCTTTTTTTATATAGACTCGACATATATTTATTAAGGAAAAGAAAGCTCTCAAGAAGAAGAATGCCCTTAGCAATTTAAAAGAACTGAAATCATACATGTTCTTATACTAGAACTAGACTAATAGAAATATAATAGGAAAATCTCCAAATAATTGGAAATTAAACTAAGAAACATTTCATTTGCCAAACAGGAAGTCTTTCTGTTTTTCGAGACAGGATTTCTCTGTGTATCCCTGGGTAGGTGGAGTTTTTCATCTGGACCACGTGCTTCCCAGTAAATGCACGGAGACCTCTTACTTACCAGAAAATGCTCAGCTGGTAGCTTTGGGCTTGTTACTAACTAGCTCTTACAATTTATTTTTTTTTTTTTTTTTTTTTTTTTTTTTTGGTTTTTCGAGACAGGGTTTCTCTGTGTAGCTTTGCGCCTCTCCTGGAACTCACTTGGTAGCCCAGGCTGGCCTCGAACTCACAGAGATCCGCCTGGCTCTGCCTCCCGAGTGCTGGGATTAAAGGCGTGCGCCACCACCGCCCGGCTTCTTACAATTTAAATAAACCCATTTCTATTCATTTATGTGCTGCCACGTGGCTTATGGCTTGTTACCTCGTTTTTCTACAAGTCCTGCTCCCTGTGCATCTGGCTGGCAGCTCCACCCTTCTTTTTCCCAGTGTTCTCTGTCTCGCTCTCCTACCTATAACCTCTTCCTGCCTAGCTGTTGGCTAGTTGACTCTTAATTAAACTAACAAGAGCAACACATTTTCACAATGTGTAAAAGGATTCTACAGCACCCTGGATGTCCTAGAACTCACTCTGTAGACCAGGCTGGCTTCGAACTCATCACCTGCCTCTGCCTCCCGAGTGCTGGGACTAAAGGCACACTGCCTGGCTGTTAAACAGCAAGTCTTAAAGGAAGTTAGAATTGGGCTGGAAAAATGGCTCAGCCGTTAAAGCCTAGGCTCACAACCAAAAATACAGGAGCTCGGTTCCCAGCAACCATGGCTATCTCTCCAGCCACCAAAAATTTTAAAAAAAAGGAATTGTCTTGTTTTCACAGTAGTTTTTTTTTTTTTTTTTTGAGACATGATCTCACCATGTAGCACTGGCTGGTCTAGAACTTGGAGCAATCCTCCTGCCTTAGCCTCTGGGGTGCTGAGATTACAAGAGTGAACTGAGCTATAATGGCCAGCTTGCATTTTAGTCTTCAGTTAAAAAACTTGTTAATACTGAGAATACACTTGAGTTGGTAGAATGCTTGCCTGTCATACTCAGTCCCCAACCCTGCATAAACCACACTGTAGTCCCAGCACTGCGCAGCAGGTAAAATGGCCTGCTTCCAAGCCTGCAAACCTTAGTTCAGTCCCTGGGACCTGTGTTGTGAGAGGGGAACCTGTCCCCCTCTGGCACATACATATGCATAAAGACTAATAAAAATGCTTTCAAAGAACCAGGCTACTCACACACATTTGTAATCTGAGCTCTTGAGACGTGGAGACAGGAAGATCACGAGTTGAAGATCATCCTTGGCTAGGAAGAGAGTTCTGAGCTAAATGAGACTGTCTGGGAGTTGTGTCTGTGCAAAATATCAGATTTTGTGGGATGTAACTCAAAACATTAATTACAGAAAGATTGACAGCATTATACCCATCTGACTAGGGTACATACTTTTAATCCCGGCGTTTGAGAGGCAGAGGCAGGTGGATCTCTGAGTTGGAAGGCAGCGTTCCAGCTGGCACTCTGTAGAAAGACCCTGTCTCAGGAAACCAAGATAGGGAGTATTCGGCTTGTTGTCATGGCCAAAATGAAGTTCAAAACCTTTGTGACTGAAGCAAGAACTGCTAACGGTATTTCAGTACACCTTCTCACACTCAGAGGAAGATCATGTCCTCCCCTCTTTCCTAAGAGCTGAGACCGAAGTACAGTGTTCAATCTATTCCAAAGGATGAAGAAGTGCAGGTTGTCTGAGGACGGTCAAACAAAGGCCAGCAGATTGGCAAAGTGGTCCAACTGTACAGGAAAAAATACGCCATCTACAGCAAGAAAAGGCTAATGGCATAACTGTCCGTGTGGGCATCCACCCAGCAAGGTGGTTATCACCAAGCTAAAGCTGGACAGAGATCACAAAAAGATCCTGGAAAGGGGAGCCAAGTCTCGACAGTAGGAAAGGAGAAGTGCAAATACTGATACAAAATATAGTTAGTCTAGAATACATCATTATAATGATAAATGCTAAACAAAAGATTACTTAATCCCTTAAGACTTCTTCACTTTTTTCCCCCCCTTTTTTGGTTTTTCAAGACAGGGTTTCTCTGTGTAACAGCTCTGGCTGTCCTGGAACTCGCTCTGTAGACCAGGCTAGCCTTGAACTCAGAGATCCTGAGTGCTGGGATTAAAAGCATGCACCACTACTGCCCGAATTTTTTTTTAAATGATTTATTTCATGTGCATTGGTATTCTGCATGGAATATCTGTGTGAGGGAGTTGGGTCCCCTGGAACTGGAGTTACAGACAGTTGTGAGCTGCCATGTGGGTGTTGGGTATTGAACCCAGGTCCTTTGGAAGAGCTAGTGCTTTTAACTGCTGAGCCATCTCTCCAAGCCCCATAAGACTTTTTAAGAAGCACTACTCTCTACTAGAGCCCCAAACCATAGTGTTATCTGTCTGTCTGTCTATCTATGTTTTTTTGAGACAGGGTCTTACTGTGTATCTGTGACTGGCCTGGAACTCAGATCTGCCTGCCTCTGCCTCTGGGATTAAAGGTGTGCACCACTAAGGTCAGCTCAATTATTGTCCTTTTTAAACATTTAAGTTATTTATTGAGCCCTACACACCCAACTTTATATGTGCTTGTGCACACACACACACACAAAAAAAAAAAAAGGAAAAGAGAAAGAGGCTGGGCAGTGGTGGTGCACGCCTTTAATCCCAGCACTTGGAAGGCAGAGGCAGGCGGATCTCTGAGTTCAAGGACAGCCTCGCCTACAGACAGCCAGGGCTACACAGAGTTCTCACAAGGAACCCTTCCCTCTTCGGGCCAGCTCTCTTTGTGCATGAATAGGGAAGCTACTTGATTTGCTTGTAACTTGAGGGGTTTTCCAGGAATTCCCGGCAGCTGTGCTGTGTTTCCAAGGTTTCCTTTCTGGGAAAGTTTCCTTACAGTCTCTCCTTCTGGAGTTCTGCTGACAGCTGTGTTTGGGGACAAACAAGTGGCTTCTCTGTTCTTGTATGTGGATCTGGGATAAAACTAGCTTACTGGAGTGTGAGTCAGACCCTGTGTTCCTTTCTCTGGGACCCTGCCCTTGATTCCGCCTTGTCTCAGAGCAGGTTTGTCTCTGAGTGCCAGCTCCAGCAGACTGCCTCAGGAACAGGGAGGCACAGTTCCTTCCATCTTGTTAGTTACCGCTGTACACATGGACATTGCCATGGTGAACTAAGCTGAGGGAGTGCTGGAGAATTAATTCAGAGATCTGTCCTGTCCAGACAGCAGAACCTGCGGTTAAACTCTAGAATTCCTGAGTCAAGGTCACTTGAGGATGATTGACAGGGCAAGGAGTTTCTGGGATTTAAAGCCATTCCTAGCCACAGCTCTGACTGCATTGTGATGACTCAGACTCTGCTCTCTTGTGACTCTGAGATCTGTTTCAGCAGCTGGCTGAGTTTAAAGACTGCATGCTCCTGGCTTCCCTGGAGTATTCAAATGGGGTGATTCGATAGAGCACACTGAACTGTATCGCTGCCTGGGGGGCCAGCCCTCAGCAGTGCAGAGCTCAGAGGGAATCCACAGAGTCTGTATGTACCAGACTTCTTTATCTAGGGGGGGTTGGTGTTAAGGGAGAAAGACACACACACACTTTCAGGCAATATAAAAATCAGAGTGTGGTTACATTGTTTTTCAAGTGAATAGTTACAATGAATACAAATAAAAAACAGCATGTTTTCCATATCCCTTAACCTAATTAAACAGTTTACGTATAACAGGTGAAAAACAAATTATCCCAAGAACCCATGTACATTCATACCCAAGCAACTTGTTATAGATTAACAATGTATAAGCAAGTAAGATAGTCTTCTCAGTCAGGACTTTTACTGGCAGACTGTGTTTTGCAGTTACAAAGAAAGGGCCAATTTTTTACTTATCTTGAAAGGTAATCTTTTTTTTTTTTTTTTTTTTTTTTTTTGGTTTTTCGAGACAGGGTTTCTCTGTGTAGCTTTGCGCCTTTCCTGGAACTCACTTGGTAGTCCAGGCTGGCCTCGAACTCACAGAGATCCGCCTGGCTCTGCCTCCCGAGTGCTGGGATTAAAGGCGTGTGCCACCACCGCCCGGCTTTGAAAGGTAATCTTAAAGGAATCACAAATCTAAACTTTTATGTATGAAATAGAATCAGTCACCTCTACTTTAAATCTTTATGATACATATTCAACAATAGTTTTTTGTGTTTTGTTTTGTTTTTCCTCCTCAAGACAGGGTTTCTCCGTGTAGTTTTGGTTCCTGTCCTGGAGCTCGCTCTGTAGACCAGGCTGGCCTCGAACTCAGAGATCCACCTGCCTCTGCCTCCCCAGTGCACCGCCGCCCGGCCCCAACAATAGTTTTTTATATCAGGAGATTGAGGGCAGAAATGGGTACAAGAAATTAATCATCACCTTTGGTCATCAACCAATCCTAGCAAGAAAAGTGCATCAGCTAGTGATAACTGGGCCGCTTTGTTCTTGTTCCCTGACCTTAAAGAGTTCCTCACTCAACTGTGTGTCTTTCTAAAACTTTGATTGTCTTCTTGGATATTTCACCTCAAAGCTATTGGACAAAAACATCTTAGTCTAAGTTATTTTCAGAGCTTTGTTTCAGCTGTGATGCACTCTGAAACCTGTGAAGACATCCCAACACTAAGGTTAAAAGAATTTAAGCTACCTGGGCTACTGGGACTCAATTGTTTTTATTAATCATTAACCTAAGCCACAGTCTATGTGGTTCCTCAATAGAAACTCATGTGTTCTAGCAGTGTGACACTTCCTTGTTTTATTTTTTTTAATCACCAAAACTCTATTTAGACTAGCATTATTATTATCAATTAGATAGTACAGCTTAGGAAAAAAATCATCATAATAATCCACAGGTAAAAATGCCCAGTAGTTGGGCTGGAGAGATGGCTCAGAGGTTAAGAGCACTGGCTGTTCTTCCAAAGGTCCTGAGTTCAATTCCCAGCAACCACATGGTGCCTCATAACCATCTGTAATGAGATCTGGTGCCTTTTTCTGGCCTGCAGGCAGAACACTGTATACATACATAAATAAATAAATAAATATTTTTAAAAAATGCCCAGTAGAACAGGATGTATCCAAGAGATAAACACACCACATTACAGACAGTGGGGATCTCCCCACACCCATTCACACCATGCCAGACACCAGAGAAAGATACAGCAAACATGTGAAGGCACAGCAGAAGCTAATGACATTCTGGAGTCTGTGGTCGTGGGGCCTTGCCTATCCGAGATTGACCCATCAGGGATTTGCCTCCTGGTAGGCTGACAACTGAAGTCAACTGCCATCTATCCACCGCCCCTCTGACACGGCCACCTGCAGGGCTGACTTAGGACTGACTTCTGCTTTTGGTTATCTCTGCTCTGTCTTTGAGACAGTTCATTTCAAATTCCTGATCTGAAGTAATCCTCCTGCCTCAGCCTGCCAAACTGAGACTAAAGGCATATAGCACCACACGCAGTTAGATATTGCACTATTAACCTGGACAGGGGTGGTGGCTCCTGTAATGCCATCACTTGGGAGCCTGACTGGCCTAGTGAGGCTACCGTCACACAGAGGGAGGGCAGGAGAGACTGTCTTTGTAAGGCACTGTCATTAACAGAGTTTTGTTTTTTAACAGGAAAATTTTGAAAGACCTCTCTTCTGAAGATACACGGGGCAGAAAAGGAGACGGAGAAAGTCCTGGTATTTCTGCTGTCACGTCTATGTCTGTTCCAACCCCCATCTATCAGACCAGCAGCGGACAATACAGTATGTATAGAGTTGTTCCATGTATAGTAGACACACAAAACTAACTGTGGAAAGACATGTCTACAGAAAGACTGCCATTAGTAACACATGTGTGCTTCTGCATGAGCTCAGCAACTTTGTGAGATAGGAGTTGACTGTGGGTGAAGGAATAGAGATTTAGAAAGGTAGATAGGTTTCCCCTGGTGTGGTGGCAAGGCCCATTATCCTATCACTTGGGATACTGAAGTTCAAGGCCAGCCAGGTCCATAGTGAGTCCCTGGCCAGTCACTGTGTAATGAGACTGCCTCAAAGAACAGTCTTTCCTGTGTACATGCTGCACCCACCCCCCATTAGACATTGTCTGTAATGTCAAATAGCTTGTAAGTAATGGAGCCAGGATTCAGTTCCATCTGTCTGGTTCTAGAGATAGTTTGTGGAGAGGGGAAATCCTATGTACGAATGCTCTTTGGTCCCCTTATGTCTGGGACCTTAATAATGCTGGTGGAAATTAATATTACTTCTGTATTAGAAGATTAAACAGGAAAGTTGTATTTTCAGTTTGAGGTTAAGGATGAAGAAGAACTAAGACTTTGATGCAACGGTAGCATGCACCATGCGCAGTGCTGGGCCGTCAGTGTAGAGAACCAAGCTGCTGGCTGTAGTGTGACTCCAGCTCGGGACTAGTGAGGGTGGAAAGGGAAGTCACGGAACACAGTGTGTCCGCCACAGTCCAAGGTGTGCCCCCCAGTCAGTGTTGTGCCTAATCATTTAGGAAATGAAGTTCTTGCATTTGTTAAAATGACATTTAACAAAGTTAACAGATATAATGAACTCTGTGTGGCTCTGGCTGGCCTGGAACTAACAGACCAGCCTCCCTCTGCCTCTGAGATTAAAGGTGTGTACTCCCACACCCAGTGCTTCTAAGCATACTTATGTCTTTTATAATATTGGGCTTATGCTTTTCCATCTCCTAGATTTCCCCATATTTTCTTGTTAAATTGTTGGCACACCTTAAGATTATCTTAGTGGTGGAACTCAGGAAGGTATTCCAGCTCCTCCTCTCTAGCACCCGCTCAGCTCATGAGTGATGCCATTTACGTGTAAGCTTTTCTCCTCGATTTTCCTGGCCAGTCGTCTATCAATCACTTTGGGAGTTTTGATAAATGTTGATGTGTAAGACCACTCACAAGTCTGCTTGGCAGTCCCAGTCTAGCTGGGCAGTGAAGTGCTTGACTGCCTACCATATACAGTCTGAGGGTCAATTCCCAGCACCAAAGAGAAAATGCTAGTAAGTCTGACTGGCCCCTTCGTAAAATGCCTGTCCCATTTGACCACTTTTCAGCCCCTCTAACCACTCAGCACTTCCTTCCTACATCTCTGCATCGGGCCTCCAATCCTCTGTCGCCTGGCTCTGTTATTACCTTAATTTTCTTTTCCATGCTTTAGCCAAAGTTACCTATTTAAAGTATCAACTAAACTGGTCATGGTGACCCACACCTGTAATCCCAAACTAGGAAGGCAAAGGCAGGTTATTGGTTATATAGCAGGTTCAGGGCCAGCCTAGGTTAAAGGAGGCCGTCTAAAACCAAATCAAACCGTGTAAGGATTAAATTGTCAAATAAGACTCTTGCTCCAGGCCCTGCAGTGGCTTTCTTTTCCACCTAGTGTAGTAGTGTCCCAGGCCTAAGGACTGTGCTCAGTTTCTGGCCACAGACTTCTGTGTACCTCTAGCCCACACAACTTGTTTTAATTCTTCAGGTCTTTGTTATCCCTGGTTGGCCATTTCCTCACACAGATAGTCTAGTCTCATGCTAACCTCATTCCTCTGTTTAAGCATCACTTAAAGGGACATTTTTTTTTAAGGCTGACTTTGTGTGTCTTTCTGTGTGCATAGGTTTTTGCACACAAAGAGGCCAGAAGAGGAAGCCAAGTGTACTCCTCTTTTGAGCTCCACCTCTTCCTTTGAGCCAGGGTCTCTCCCTAAACTTGACATAGATGGCAAGCTCCAGCATTCCGTTTCCACACCTCTTCAGAACTAGAGTTGTGCACAGGACACCTGACTTATTCCGTGAGCTCGGCTCTTGAACTCTGATGTTCCTGATTGTGTAGCCAGCACTCTTAACCAGTGAGCCATTTCTCCAGCTGTGGGACAACTCTAAAATACAGTCCCCGTGCACACTCTAGAGTTCTCTGGACATGTGGCTGCAGAGGTGACAGTGTGGAGGCTACACTGGCTTACCTAAAGCCGAATGTGCTCTGTTATTATGAACACTTGTTTCACTCACTGGCACCATCAACACACAGACTGCTAAAGGCAGCAGCTCAGAAAAGGAAGCTTAGGCAGAGGTTCCAAGTGGTGAGTGTAACAAGTACAACTCCAAACTGGTGTTTGGGGCAGTAGAGTCCAGTGGGACTTCTGTGTGTGGTGGCAATGTTCACAGTGTTCGGGACAGATATTTAGGGCTTGAAATGGGACTGGAGTTCTTTAATTTTATATGGTGGCTCCATGAGGCTGGTGGCTACTATATTGAATAGTGCAGCTTTAGACTAAATAGGACAGATAAATAAATACACATGGTAAATTAAAAGAGGGCATGTTGCAAAAAGAAAAGGTACATTGTTTCATATATCTGATAGCCAAACAGTCATCTGCAGCTATAAGTATTCCATACACATATTTGATATACGTTACTATCAGTCCATATGAGAAGGCTAGGACAGGTGTGTACCAGAGATGGTGGGTACTTGAAGGTATGGAGAGCAGTCACTTCTATCCTAGAGTAAATAAATTAGAACAGATAATGAGACTGTTACGGATTTTTGAGAGCGAGAATGATTATCTGTTGCACAGAGAAGAAATTGAGAAAACTTTCAACTATTATTTCAAAAGGACCCTCTATCTAAATAGCATTCTTGAGTCATGTACTGAGGTATGTGCAAATCTGTGTGCATATGGTAGAGTTGAGTAGGAGCTTCTGGAAAAGTCATTTCAATTACAGCAATCCAGTACAGATAGCTAGGTTGTGACTTCCAGGTAGCCAAAGTCAGAAAGGGAAACAGTACATAGTTTTGATGTGAAAAGGTGTTGAGTTCTGTTACAGATTTATAGGGCATCTGTTTAGTCCCGCCTCTTGGGTGTGTCACTTAAGAGAGCAGGCACATAGGTGTGATTCAGTGAAAATGTCTGCAGTCGAATACTGTGGTCCACAAGTGGCTTGCTGATGACTTTATTTTCACTAGGTAGTGAATGAATACATTACTTTTTTTTTTAATTGTTGATGGTTGGTTGGGTTTTGTTTTTTGGTTTTTTTTTTTTCTTATTATTTGAGGGGTGTTTTTCGAAATGGTTTCTCTGTGTAGTCCTGGCCGTCCTGGAATTCGCTCTGTAGACCAGACTGGCCTAACTCAGAGATCACCTGCTTCTGCCTCTGGAGTGCTGGGATTCAAGGTGTGCACCAACACGCCTGGCTACATTGTTTTTCACTTAAGTGGTGACATGTAAACCAGTGTCTGCAGTAGAAAGAGCTGAAAACATGAGTGAGACTGACCTAGGCTAATAGTACCTAAAAGTATCAAAACTACTTTCAAGGGGCTGGAGAAATGGCTCAGAGGTCAAGAACATGTACTGCTCTTGCAGAAGACCCAAGATGGGTTCCCAGCACCCCTGTCTGGGAACTTACATGCACCTAGAACTCCAATTCCAGGGTATCTGACACCCTCTTTGAGACTCCCAGGGTATCTACACTCACACAAGCACAGACCCATACACAGATAAACATATTACATACACACAATTTAAAAATCTTTTTAAAATGCATTGAAAAAATTTTAACTTTAATGTCTTATATTTTTACATATTTCATAATAATACATTATTCAGTTATTTTTGAGACAGGATATCACATGTAGCCCTGGCTAGCCTGGAACTGGCTATCTAGACCAAGTTCTGAACTCAGAGACCCCTCCCTGCTTCTGCTTCCCAAGTGCTGGGATTAAAGGCGTGTGTGCCTCCCCCCACCCCCATACCTGGCAAGACAATTTTTTTTAAATGTTTTAGTTGGTGTGTGTGCACAGGAAGTGTGAAGATACCAGGTGAATTCAGGTCCTCAGGCAAGCATCTTTACTCACTAAGCCCTATCTCTAATCTCTAAAACACAATATTCTCAATTCTCCACTTTTTAAATACCCATGCTATCCTATTATGGTCTTAAACTCATGATCGTACCTCCTAAGTGCTGGGATTACAGGCGTGTCACCATGCCCAGGTTCCATGCCCAGGTTCCATGCCCAGGTTCAGATAAAACCCTAAAATGTTTGTTTTTTTGCCCCCATCCCAAGGAAAAAAAGTTAGCCATTAGAACAAGCGTGGTGATATAACATGCCTTCTTGGCCATATAGAGTCTGAGCACAGCCTAGGCTACATGAGATAACTATCTCAAAAATAAATCCTTAGCCATTAGATCTCTCATTAATGCCCCAGAAATTTCTGTGGCAACATTAACATGAAATGTCCATGAATTCCAAAATATGCTATTTTTATGATTCATTGTATATTATTACACTGCCTGAGACTAAATCTCAGGTAGTATGTCTAAAGTATAAAATTTTAGGAAGACATTACTACATCAATAATAGTGATTTTTGCCAAGTAGAACTACATTCAGACCTATTCTCTATGTATTTTGGATTTTCAAGACAGGGTTTCTCTGACTGTTCTGGAACTGGATCTGTAGACTAGGCTGACCTCAAACTCACAGAGATCCACCTGCCTCTGCTGGGATTAAAGGCGTGCACCACCACGGCCTGCCTTCAAACCTACTTAAATGTTTAGTTTTTATTCCCTTCTTTGAATTACTGTATAGCCTTATAACTGATTTTTTCTGTTTGGTTAAAGTTGCCATTGCCCCAAACGGAGCCTTACAGTTGGCCAGTCCAGGCACAGATGGCGTGCAGGGACTGCAGACATTAGCCATGACAAATTCCAGCAGTACTCAGCAAGGTACAATCCTCCAGTACGCACAGACTTCCGATGGACAGCAAATACTCGTCCCAAGCAACCAGGTGGTCGTACAGAGTAAGTGTGCTCCTTATCTACAGACGTGCCCACGTCCTTTCTGGGGCACTTGATGAAAAACTCACTGTTTTGGCTCCACAGCTGCATCAGGAGACATGCAGACCTACCAGATCCGAACCACACCGTCTGCCACTTCACTGCCACAGACTGTGGTGATGACTTCTCCTGTGACCCTTACATCCCAGACAACGAAGACCGACGACCCCCAACTCAAAAGGGAAATACGGCTGATGAAAAACAGGTAGGTCAGTTTCCAGAGTGGTTAAGGTTCTGCACATCTCAACGTAGTCACATGACCTAACTGGGTAATCAGAAAGGAGGTTTGGGTCAGCGTTGCACTGTCTAGTAGGTTATGTCTGGTTCATGCCCAGGGGATTAGTGAGTTCATCTGTGAGTCTCTGCAGTAAATGGCCTGTCACCTAGAGTTCTTCAGTTTGACTACAACCTTTCAAATAACCTTGTTTAGTGCTGGAGAGATGCTTCTCTGATAAAGAACAGCTCAGAGCAATGGCTGCTCTTCCAGAAGACCCAGATTCAATTCCCAGCACCCACATGGTAGCTCCTAACTCCAATTCCAGGGGACCTTACATCTGATGTGGCCTCTCTGGGCAGTGCACACATGTGCAGACATGCATGCAGGCAAAACACCTAAAGTTGAAATAGCATTGTTAAGCAAAGCTATTCAAACAGCATTTCCTTGTTAAGCATACGCTAGAGATCCTGTGCTGTGGTTCTAGCACAGCAAATGCCAAAGTAAGCAACCCATGCAAGGTGCAACAGCCGTGTGTGCTGGAAAGATAAGACACATACGGTAGTTTGTCAAGCTAACACCGTGCTAAACAGTACCAACATCACCTGAGCCTTTAGTGTAGCAGCTAGCCCCACCCCCACCCCCGGGTGTCAGCGGCTGCTGTTAATGACGCTGAAAGCTGGTGTGGAGAGCAGTGACATGTGACACTTCCTTTCCCTAATAATGTCTCTGTACCATGTTATGCTGGTGGTAGCATTTTCCCCAAACTAGAACATCTTCCAAAATAGAATTGGCCACCTCAAACCCTGCCTCCGCCTTCCGTAAAGCTAAAAGTCCATGTAGAATCATGAATCCTGTGTCATTTCATGCCTCCTTCATCAGTGGATTCAATGTTTACTTATCCATATGAAACAGCTTGTCTGTTGGAAGTTTTTAATTTTACCAAAAGACGGTGGTAGGGGCTGGAAACCTAGCTTAGCAGTTAGGAGGACACACCACTTTTTTGTTTGGTTTTGTTTTTTCAGACATGGCCTCATGATGTGTTAGCCCTAGCTGTCCCAGAACTCACAGAGATCTACCTGCCTCTGCCTCCCAAGTGCTGAGATTTAAGGTGTGCACCACCAACCCAGCTGTTCTTTTAGAGGATCCAAGTGTCATGCCCACCATCCACGTTGGATGGATGTAACTCCAGCTCCAGGGGATTTGATACCTTCTGACCTCTGAGAGTACCTGCATGCAAAAAGGAGAGATTGTAGCAATATAGTCACATCTTCAGACTCTACCTCTTTTGGTTTTGTTGAGTTTGATGTTTTGTTTCTATTTTTGGTGTTGAGAATCAAAAACTCAAAACTTTACACTTGCTAGGCAAGCACCCCTGTCACTGAGCTGTACCCACCAGTCCTTAGAACAGTGGTTCTCAACTTGTGGGTTGTGACCGCTGGGGGTCAAACAGCCCTTTCACAGAGGTCACCCAAGACCATTGGAAAACAGTTATTTACAGTAGCAAAACTACAGTTAATGAAGTAGCAATTGAAATAATTTTATGTTTGGGGGTCACCACAACATGAACTGTATATTAAAGGTTCACAGCATCAGGAAGGTTGAGATCCTTTGCTTTATAGGAATCTACAACTAAGTTTCTGAAGCCCTTTGAACCTCACTCACAAGGGGTGGGATGAACTCTCAGCTCCTCTTGTTCGTTTTTTCCAGAGAGGGTTTCTTTGTTTAGGCCTGGCTGTCCTGGAACTCACTCTGTAGACCAGGCTGTCCTCAAACTCACAGAGATCCGCCTGCCTCTGCCTTCCCGAGTGCTGGGATTAAAGGCATGCGCCACCACCGCTCAGAGTTTTTGTTTTACTTTTGTGTGGAGGCGCTCATGATGTCAGAGGCTTTGAGTTCCCGGGAGCTGGAGTTAGAGATGCTGGGAGCTGGGTTCAGGTCTGCTCTTACAGCCGAGCCACCTCTCCAGCCTTGCTACTTTTTTTTTTTCTCAAACGTGTGTGGATATTTTCTGTGAGTATGTCTGTGCCTGGCACCCACAGAGGCCAGAAGAGGGTGTCAGATCCCCTGAAACTGAAATTATAGATGGTTGTGAGCCACCAGTGGGTGCTGGAAATTGAACCTGGGGTCCTCTGCAAGAGCAGCCAGTGTTTTGTTCGTGTGGGTTTTGGGTTTATTTTGTTTTTGTGTGTACTTTTGCCTGCATGTATGTATGTACAGTACATGCATGTCTGGTGCCCACAGAGATCAGAAGAGGGCATTGGGTCCTCTTGGACTGGAGTTACATAGACAGATGTGAGCTGCCCTGTGGATGCTGGAATCAAACCTGAGTCACCAGGAAGAGCAACAAGGGCTCTTAACCACTGGCCATCTCTCCTGCACCCATTGTCTGACTTCCATACCATAGGGATGGCTTCTTTCATGGACCTACCTCTGTATACTTCTCACCTCTCTCACCCTTCCAGATGAAAGAGATTCAGGGCCTTCTCTAGAGTAGACCTTGGATTACGGGAACCTTACAGCTGTTTTGATCTGGGCAGACCACAGAACCTTTCAGCCTTTCATCTTCTGGCTTACATGCTCTCTGGAGTCGCCCTTTCATTCAGTGTGGCTGGCTGGCTGGCTGGGAGGTCTTGCTCTGGCCTGACTTAGCTTTCACCAAGCATGAAGGTCACTATAGGGTTATAAGAGGCCTGACTTCCATATACATCTTCAAGGAGAGAGTCAGAGACAGGAAGAGCCATTTGAAGAGTCCGAATATACACTACATTTCTAAGAACTTAGCGTCTTCGGTGGGCAGTTCGTGACTCCAGCAGATGGTTAAAATGGAAGCATCAAGGGCTGGAGAGATGGCTCAGAACCATCTGTAAGGAGATCTGGTGCCCTCTTCTGGCCTGCAGACAGAACACTGTACATAATCAATAAAAAAGGGTAAGTCACAGATCAAGATGGCTCAGCAGATACAGGCTCTAGTCTGGAAGCCTAGTGACCTGAAGGTGGAGGAGAGAGCCAGCTCCACACAGCTGTCCTTTGACCTTTGTGCCTGTGCGCCCTGTGGCACATGTCCCCTTCCATACACCAGGTTACAATTGTCTTAAAAATTGTTTTAACTCAATCACCATGAAACATTTACCTCCTTCTTATATATATATATATATATATATATATATATTTTTTTTTTTTTTTTTTTTTTTTTTTCATTTGTCTGTGTAGCCCGTGCTGGCCTGGAACTGGCTGTGTAGCCAACAATGACTTTGTGATCTTGTTCCCACTCCTGAGTCCTAGGACTGTCAGACTCCACCAAGTGGAGTCTTGTGTGGTGCTGAGGATCAAGCCCAGGGCTTCGTACATGCCAGACAAGCACTGCATCAATTGAGCCATGCCCCCAGCTCCTTAAATGCATTTAGACATACTACTACATTCACTTTAATATATCAGGCAGGAAAACTTGCTTCTTGGAGAAAATGCATATATAATGGGTAACTTTATGTACTGTGTGCAAGAGGAGAACAGGAACCCAGAAACAAGGAATGACAGCAGAAGCCGAGTCACAGATGGAGGGGGTTTAAAGCGTGGCTGGGTTTTTTCAGCTACACATAAACACAGAGAGAGAGAGAGAGAGAGAGAGAGAGAGAGAGAGAGAGAGAGAGACCAAAGGTAATGTCTTTAAAGCAGTAAAAATTAGCATAAAAGAATCATGTGGATACATACAAGTTTAATTGAAAATAAAACATTTCTTTACTAAAACGTGACAGCAGGGATTGCTATCATTTGCTTGTGTCTCTATGAATGAGTTTGGTAAAAAGACAAAAGACTATTTTGGAGGTTCCAAGAGATGAAGAGATAAATGAAGTACATATGTAAATAGAAGAAAATTGATAAGAGCTATATCTAGAAACTCCAAGGAAGGGTCTTAAGTGTTAAAGAGTGCTTGTTCCACGTGTGCAAAGCTTAGTTTGATCCCCAGTATCACACACAACCAGGTGTGGCGCAGGCAGGAGGTGGAGGTAAAATTCAGTATGTTCAGGGGAGGTTGGAGGCCAGCCTGGGTTACATGAGACCCTGTCTCAAAAAAGATGGGGGTTTACTTCTCACAAGATGACCAGCTACGTACAGTTTTTAAAGATTGATGAAACGTGGAACCTGTAGGAAAGAAACTAAGACTCTGATGAGGTTAGTGATGAACTAGACCCTCAGGGTTTCACACAGCTGTGGCTGTCCTAGAACTCACTCTGTAGACCAGGCTGGCCTTGAACTCACAGAGATCCACCTGCCTCTGCCTCCTTATGATTGAGATTAAAGGCGTATGCCACACCATCCAGCTGAAAGTCATTCTTACCTAGTTTTGATATGCTGAAGAGATGGGAACAATCTTGGAGCTGCTGTGCTGGGGCACTGCATAGGTTACATTTCATGAGGTCACTACACTCAGAGCTAAAAATGTCACTTAAATGAGTTCTTGTCTTGCACAGTTCCCTAGAACCTTGGATGAAAGCACTTAATATTAGCTCCGACAAATTCCAGACATTGAACTCTAACAAATATACACAGAGCTGCGGTGGGGTGGGGGGAACTAGCGAGTCCTGCCTTGTGTCCAGAAGGTCAGCCCTTGGGAGGCGGCCAGCCTGAGCCACATAAGGAGACTGTAACTCATCCCACTCTGCAGAGCAAGAGAAAAGAAGAGCTTTAGGCCTGGCACATGCTGTGACCTTGGAAGCCAACTGGCACTACAAAGCTCAACTTTGACCCCCCCCAAAAAAAAAAAAAAACACTTTTAATGTATAAGGTGTGAGATTTAAGGCTTTAATATAAATATACATAATTTTATAGCCTGAGTATAGGAAAGGATTCCAAAACAAGATAGCTTTCAGGGAAATAGTGTAATTATTAATGAATGTGACCTCATTAAAATGAGAACCTTTGAGCTGGTCATTGCAGCACACACCTTCAATCTCAGCACTTGAGAGGTGGAGGCAAGATTGGGAGTTCAAGGCCATCCTCAGCTACATGACACTCATAAAACCAAAGGAAAAAGAAGTTGGAAGGACAGCTGGTTTAGAGCACTGGCAGCTCCTAAGCATCTGTCACTGTAGTCCATGAGGATCCTCCAAGTGCAGCAGGCACACAGGTGGTGCACGGACGGACATGCAGGAAAAACACCCATACACATAATTTCCTTTATTTTTTGGTGATTTTTGAGACAGGGTCTCACTGTTTGGTTGTGGCTGTCCTGAAACTCACCAACATTTGCCACTATGCCCAGCAAATAAATAATAATTTAAATTAATAGGCAAACTATTAAAAATATCAGAAGTGAAATTGGGGAGTAGTAAAGTAGAAAAATAGGTACTAGGTTGGATGTGTATGATGAACAGAGGAGTCTTAAAATTACAAGCCGGGCGGTGGCGCACGCCTTTAATCCCAGCACTCGGGAGGCAGAGACAGGCGGATCTCTGAGTTTGAGGCCAGCCTGATCTACATAGTGAGTTCCAGGACTCCAAAGCTACACAGAGAAACCCTGTCTCGAAGGAAAAAGAAAAGAAAAGAAATTACAAGACGATGCTCTGGCTCAACACACATGGGCAGAGCAGCTCCAGAGGCTGCTCACCAGGAAAGACTAAGGTGCATCTCATGGGCCTTCCCAACAGGGAGGCCTCCTAGGCAGAGGTCAGAGCTGCTCTCCCTACATGTGAGGAGGAGAGAAGCATTCCCAACACATTAGACCCACCAGTTCTGTATGACGGAATGCTGTCACTGACAATTCTGATCAAGAAGAATGCTTGCACTTTATGTAAGAGAGCTGTAGTAGAGACAGCAGAGAACTAAAGAGAGGGGAACACAGTAACCTGTGAAGAAGAGATTGCGCCAGCCTTGTGTGTGCATTTGGGGATCTGAGCTGAAGCACTGGACTGAGGAGCCTCTGCAGTAACTAAGGTGTTAGCGCGGTGAAGCCCAGGGCTTCTGTGCATTCCTGAGATGGCCGGGGCCACTTCAGTGAGACACTGAGAAGGGATGGACACGTGTCACTGGGTGTCACGTCTAAGTTGGAGATGGTGGCGGCTAGAGAGATGGCTCAGTGGTTAAGAGCACTGACTGCTCTTCCAGAGGACCATGTTGGATTTCCAGCACCCATATATTCCTCCAGGTCCAGGGGGCCCGGCCCCCTCTTAGGGCTCCATGAGCACTTTCAAGTGCTCATACATAGAAAATAAATCTCAAAAAAACTAAAAACTACATAAAATCTTTTAAAAAAAAGTTTGTGGGGAGCCAGACACGATAGTATCCTGAGCAGCCTGAACTACATAATGAGTGTCTCTAGAAACGGAAAAAAAGACTGTGGTGAAGACATGTGTCTGTAATTGCCACAATCAAGAGGCTGAGGCAGGTGGTCTTCAGAACTTAGGTCTAGCCTAGGCTACAGAGCAAAAGCTTGTCCAGAAAAAGCACTAATTAGGAACTGACTCAAACACATCAGGACTGGGTGACAGGATAGCGAGAGCTGACCAGGAAGGTGAAGGCTTCTAGGGCAATGGAATTGTGTCTCATTGGGGTTTTATCCAAGTACGTGTGTTTACCAAATTACGTGTGTGTGTGTGTGTGTGTGTGTGTGTGTGTAAAAGCCAGAAATGTCTGATACCTCCCTCGCCCCCAGTGGAGTTACAGCTACCCAACATGGGCACTGGAGCTGAACTTGGGTCCTTTGCAAGGGCAACAAGTGCTCTTAACTACTGAGTCATCTATCTTCTCCTAGATTAGTTTTTCATGGGAGTTAGGGGTAGTGGCACATGCTTACAATCCCAGCATTGAGAAGCGGATGAGGCAGGAGGAGCAAGATTTGAGGCCAGCTTGGGCTGCACAATAAGACCATATCTACTAAACAGTCGAGAATTCCTCACGTCTGTTCTCCTGTTTACGTGTTGTGTTTAGAGAAGCTGCTCGAGAATGCCGCAGGAAGAAGAAGGAGTACGTGAAGTGCCTGGAGAACCGAGTCGCCGTTCTGGAAAACCAAAATAAAACTCTAATAGAAGAGCTAAAAACTTTGAAGGATCTTTATTCTCATAAAAGTGTTTGATTCTTTAAAGAGAAAGTATTTTTATGGACTTGCTTTAAAATGAGGTGGATTTCTTTTTAGTGGAGTTTTATAAATTCAGAGGTCAAAGAAGCTACTTTGTATTAGGTTTTTACAGTGCGCAAGTTGACAGAGGGTTAAGTGGAGATGAGCAGGAGGAAGCTGCTGGTAGGACTGGAAGATCTGGGGGAAGTACTCCAGGAAATGGACGTCAGCAATGGAACTTAGACAGCGTCCAGCCAGAAGGGGCGGCGGTGGCGGCGGCGGCGGCGGCAGCAGTGGCAGCAGTGGCAGCACTGGGAAGAACCCACTCCCTCTCAGTTTGTATTCTTACTGTTTGTTTCCGAAGATTTGCCTTTTCATTTGTGTGTGTGAGTGTGTGTGTTTGATTCCTGCCAATAAATTCTAAATTACAAATGTAAAAGAAAGCATAATACGTTACTAAGTATGTAAATTATGTGGTCTGATTGTTACTTGTCATATTGTCGGGTGTGTTCAATGAGTTTTAATAGTTGCTTTTGTTGGACTTGAGGGTTTTGAGAAGTTCTAACAGGCGAAGGGCACAGGATCTGAAGATGGTGATTTGTAACATTTGTATCAGAATGGAAAATTTGACCATTTTAAATAGTTGATTTTTGCTTCCGGAAGGTAAGGGCAATTTTTCACAAGGATATAATAATTTTTTTTTAATTCTCTAATCCTGTATGCAGTTGAAGAGCATTACTCTTTTGTGCTTTAACAGAATGAAGTGTTTACAAATGCCCTTAAAATCTTTTCAATAACCTGAAGAAGAAGTACACCAAAGCTTCCCGCGAGGGTTTATAATCATCTTTCTGTAGGATTGTCAGGTTCTGAAGTAGTTACCGAGGCAGCTTGCCTTGAGACTATTTTGTAATGTAGCCAAGGGTACCTTTATAAGAGAAGGGACTGCCGATATATTTTTATAGTGAATCTTTATAAATTCTAATGTCGAGTTTTTAATGATTATTTTAAATGTTTATATATAGTTTGTTTAGTAAAAAAAAATTTGTATCTCAAATTGCCATTTTTTATATTATGAGAAGAGTAAAGTTTTCAATTGGCTGATATTGAATTGTACTTTTTCTATGAAGTTTATCTAAAGTTCAAGCTGTGGTCAGTACACCAGTGTTTAACCTCTGTATTCTAATCTGTATACACTTTGAAACTGTACTGCAAAACTGTTGTGTGCCTATATAGTATATTTCATATGGTCTATGAAATTAAAGAACATTTGATAAGATTAAGTTTGCTGAATGCAAAATACAATGTTTGACATACGAACATCACCCTATCAAAGTTGAAGAATTCAGAAGTCTATTCTAGATTGGCCCTGTCCCCAAATCTTAGGGACTATACGGTATAGGAGAAGCTTGGGACACATCTACCTACTGTCCCCTTCATTTTTGGAGATAGACTGTGGTAACTGCCCTTTGATTGGTTTGTTGCAGTCATAGACATTAGAAATTAAATCTTTATGCCATTTCATGATTGAGGTCCTTTTTCTCCCAAGTTGTTGGCACTCTATGTAGTTATTTTCTGTCTTGAACTTATTCCTTATATAACGTGTCAACCTAAATAAGTTATTGTAAGTCAAGGTGACTTTACATACATGTGTACTCAAGAGTATTCTGTGTAGAATATGCCGCTCACCTAGTGAGGTCCTGGTGGGCAGGAGAAGAGAACAGGAACTCAGTCACCATCCCACTCCTGTGAGCTCATGCCCTTGAGGGTACTGCTTGCTAAGGTTACATCAGCATGAGTGACTAGGATGCAAACTTTAAGCCCAGTGTAGGGCCAGATGTGGTGCGCACCTGTAATCTCAGCTGACCAAGGGCCTGAAGCGGGAGGATGGAGAATTTGAGGAGGCCAAGCATGGTGGCGCACACCCTTAATCCCAGCAGGCAGATCTCTGTGAGTTCAAGGCCAGCCCAATCTAAAGAGTAAATTCCAGGGCAGAGAAACCCTGGGGGAAGGCGGGGGTAAACTGACCTATCAATTCCATCTCAGAACCCAAGGAGAAAACTGACTCCCAGAAGTTGTCCAGTGACCGACCGCCTGGGTGATGTGGCATGCACCTGTATTGACACACGCCTTATACACGGACACTAATGCATTTATTTAAAAAAAAAAAAAAAACATTGCAATCCCACGGTCTAGCGCACACCTTCAATAAACTCCAGGGGGCACTGTTGTAGCTCCATCATGAGGATGGCTCATAATATTTGATGAGGTCTGAGTTTAAACTCAAGTGGGCACAGAGAAATTTGATGTTCTGCCCCCAAACCACACAGTAAATAACAAAACTAATGTTAAATTCTAGGCTGAGTCAGCCTCAGAATGTGTGGTCTTGGTCATGAGGATGTGTCCCTTCTCACCAATGGTTTTGAGGCAGAAAGGTTTTGTTTTCCTTTGCTTAAAATTAGCTTCAGAACCTATTTAAATGGGACCACTAGATGGCGACACTCCTTTACACTCAGTTCTACAAACTTCAGGATGGCAGAGGGCCAGCGTGATGACTCGGCGGATGAAGGCACTTGCTGCCAAGCCTGATGACCTGAGCTCAGTCCTCAGGACCCACACTGTGGCATGCATGTACGCACAGGAACACACATGAGTTTAGTGTGTCCATGAAGTGTGTGTGTATTCACTACATATATTCATAGATAAGGCAGTAATCCCAGTACTCAGGCTGAGACATGAGTTCCAGGCCAGCCTGGGCTCACTAGCAAGATCCTGTCTCAAAAACACAAGACGTTGAGAATGAAGCCAGGAGGTGGTGGCGCACGTCTGTAATTCCAGCCTGGTCTACAAAGCGAGTTCCCAGGGCTGTTACACGGAAAACCCAGGCTTGAAGAAACAAAAAAGGACCGAGAAGCTCAGCTGTCAGTGCTTGCCTGGGGCATAATGCTCAGGGTTCAGTTCCCAGCCCCACATAAATGTAGCAGAGTGGCTTTAGTCTGAAGCCCAGCCACTGGAGATTGGGAATGGGCGGCCAGCCTGGACTACATGAAACCTTGTGCCAAAAAATAAAACTCAGGGTGAGAAGGCTCAGAAGAGCATGTACTATTGTTAAAGGGGTGCAAGTGGTACCCAGCACCCACATTCAGCTCACAACTGCTTGTAACTGCAGGGGATCCTGCACTTCTAGCCTTCCGCAGGAACTTGCACACAGACACAACTGAAAACCTTAAAAAGTAAACAAAGGTTTAAGGAAAGCAGGATTGTAGTGGGTTTGTTTTTCAGTTCATAAATACTCTTCAACAGTGTACCAGTCTAAAAAGTCAAATAGGTCAAAGAAAGTGCAGTGGAAGCCGGGAGGCTAGCCCCATGATAGAGCACTTGGCCAGCATGCAGGAGGCCTAGGATCAGTTCACAGCACTGAAAATAAAAAGATGCAGTTTAGTTACAGTAATTTAGTCATGTGTTTTGGGGTAAAACAAGATGATTCAGTGTAGAAGTGCTTGACCCTGGAACTTACAATGGAAGGAAAGAACCAGTTCCCAAACCTGGCACGTGCTCCCTCACTTAGACACATGTACACATAATGTTTTAAATTAATGTCAGGCTGGAGAGCTGGCTCACTGATTGACAACACTGGCTCTTGCAGAGGACCCACATGGCAGTTCATAACCATCTAGAACTCTAAACTCCACGGCAACAGACCTGGGTCTGGTGCACAGACATAAACAAAGGTAAACTAGGTGTGGTAGCGCACGCCTTTAACCCCAGCACTTGGGAAGCAGAGACTCTGTGACTCTGAAGCTAGTCTGGTCTACATAGCAAGTTCCAGGACAACCGGGGCTACATAGAGAGACCCTGTCTCAAAATAAATAAATAAATAAATAAATAAATAAATAAATAAATAAACAAACAAACAAACATAAGTGGAGCAAGTTCCAGGACAACCGGGGCTACATAGAGAGACCCTGTCTCAAAATAAATAAATAAATAAATAAATAAATAAATAAATAAATAAACAAACAAACAAACAAACAAACATAAGTGGACCAGACCAGATAATAAAGACTGTCTGGTTGAAGTAGGAAGCAAAATCCTACTACAGGTTTATAAATGCTAAATCAAAAATATAAGAAAACAGCAAGACTGAGATGTGTATTAAAAAAGCCAGTCAAGTTCCAGCCAGAAGAAAGCTGGGCTGGCTGTGTTTGTGTTGAAGAATGTCACTATAGAATTGTAAAAATGTTCAGTTCATCTAGAACAGTGGCTCTCAACCTCCTGACGCTGCAACCTTTTAACACAGGTCCTCGTGTTGTGGTGACCCCCAACCATAAAGTTATTTTGTTGCTATGTCATAACCTGCAATTTTGCTACTGTTATGGATTGTAATGTAAATTTATCTGTTTTCAGATAGTGTTAGGTGACCCTGTGAAAGGGTCATTCAACTCCTGAAGGGGTCGTGACCCACATGTTGAGACCTGCTGATCTAGCTGATAGATACAGTTACGTTTCTCTGATCTTCCTGCCTCCTTGAGGACTAGGACACTGCATGTGCCACCACACCCAGCCCACTTCTAAACTTGAATTTGCTAATACAGGGTGAAGATGTTAAAGTGACGAAATGTAGGAAACAAGGAAAAATCCTTAAAGTGACGAAATGTAGGAAACAAGGAAAAATCCTGATTACAAAAGCAGGAAAATAGTAAAACAGATTTGGACAATTAACGAATAACCTAACATACTGAATTTCAACTGCAAGCCACGGCTAATGGGAGGCCCATCCTCGCTAGCTCTAACTGTCCGCTTGACTAGTCCATTGTGGGCGGCACCATTCCCTGGGCAGGTAGTCCTGGACTAACAAGAAAGCTAGCTAAGCCTGGTTTGCAAATGAACCAGCAGCAAGCAGCATTCTTTATGGTTTCTGCTGCGCTTCTGTGCTGAGAGGTAATGCCATAGAGACTAGCAAGCAGGCCTGCCTTTGACATCCTGCCCTGAGATGAAATAAACCTTTTCCTCTAAGTTGCTTTTAGTCGTATTATTTGTATAGCACCAGAATTAGACCAAAATGAGTCAACTATTATCTTACATCTGAGAAAGAAAAACCAGTGTGAAGTCAATATGCCGGGCAAACAGGATGTGTGTCAACCTCAGAGATCCAACTGAAGAGGTATCTTTTACTGCGATTCAATACAGAACACACACACATCAGATAGAAGAACACATATGGGGCGATAAAAGTCAGACTCAACCAATTTTGAAGAATTGATCCAGAAGGACTGGGTTTCTTTGGTCTATGTGAGTCAACCCTTTCATCAGAACTATAGTCTTGGCTAGTCACTGAAGCGTGATCTTTAGTTAGCCTTATCAATTAAAACCAGGAGTCAGATTTCAGAGTAATAACCTGAAAGATCAGAGAAGCTGAGCAGCAGCCACTAGAGACTTCTTACCTCTACAATCCTCAGACCGAATGGGCCTGAGATCCTGTCTCCACCTCCCGAATGTGCCAGGATTAAAGGCATGAGCCTCCCAAGTGCTGGGATTAAAAGTGTGTGCCACCACCGCCTGGCCTCTATGGTCAACTAGTGGCTAGCTCTGCCCTCTCATCTCCAGGCAAGCTTTGTCAGAACACAAACAAAAAATCACGCAACAGGTCACTGTAACTAGAGTTTTTCTAGTCCTGCCTGGCCCACAGTCAGGTCAAATCTCTCTAACCTGCCAGTCCCACAGCAGCTCAGACCCAACCAAATAAACACAGAGACTTATATTGCTTACAAACTGTATGGCCATGCCAGGCTTCCTGCTAACTGTTCTAATATCTTAAATTAATCCATTTCTATAAATCTATACCTTGCCACGTGGCTCGTGGCTTACCGGCATCTTCACATGCTGCTTGTCATGGCGGCGGCTGGCAGTGTCTCCCTCACTCAGCCTTCCACTTCCTGGAATTCTCCTCTCTCCTTGTCCCGCCTATACTTTGTGCCTGGCCACTGGCCAATCAATGTTTTATTTATTAACATATTTGCCATACAGAACATCCCACAGCAGGTCACAGCTTTAGAAGGCTTGTGAACAGCACAGCACTTGAACACGTGTTTAGAAGCTGCTTTTTGATAAGAAGCACAGACTCTGGATTAAGGCCTGGACTCAGCCTCCTTTTGTTTTGGACCAGCCCTCTGTTTAGCTCTGCCTGGAAGCATGCTGATTGCTCAGTGTCTGTCTAAAGACTGGGGCTCGGCCCTAACCTGACTCATACCCCTTCAGGGCTGACGTCATGAAGATGATAACC